TTTATCATGGAAAGGTACTGGAATTACCAAATGCATTTTCTATACCAATTAAGAGGATTATATTTTTCTTCCTCCATTCTAGTAATGTGGTATATTAGCTTGATCAATTTTTATATGCTGAGTCACACTTGCAATCAAGGAATGAATCACTTTCAATATGCTGCTGGCTTCTCTTTGCTATTTTGTTGAGAATTTTTGCATTTATACTCATTAAGGATATTGGTCTGTAGTTGTCTTTTCTGGTAGTTCCTTGTCTGGCTTCAGAATCAGGGTAATAATGTCCTCATAGGAGTTAGGAAGTATTGCTGCCTCAAACATTTTGGAAGTTTAAGGAGGAATGGTATTAACTCTTTACATGTTTCAGCAAATCCACCAGAGAAGCCATCTGGTCTCTGTCTTTTCTTTGTTGGAAGGATTTGTATTACTGGTTCAATCTCCTTTACTTGTTAGAAGTCTATTCAGATTTTCTACTTCTTGGGTTGGTTTTTGTAATTTGTGTATTTCTAGGAATTTGCCCATTTCATCTAGGCTCTCCAGTTTGTTGGTAATTGCTCAACATTTTCTAGAACGCTTTTTATTTCTATAAAGTTGGTGGTAATGTCCATGCTTAAATTTCTGATTTAGTAAGTTGAGTCTTCCCTCTTTTTTTCTTAGACTACTTAAAATTTTGTCATTTTTGTTATTATTTTCAGGAAAACTAGTTGTGGTCTCACCCATTTTCTCTATAGCTGTTCCTTTTCCTACTTCATTTATCTCTGCTCTGATCATTATTACCTTCCTTCTGTTAAATTTGGGTTTAGTTTGCTCTTCTTTTTCAAGTTCCTTCAGGTATGCATTTAGGTTACTAATTTCAGATTTTTCTTCCTTTGTTTTTTTGGTTATCTTAGATTTTTCTTCCTTTGTAATGTAAGCTTTCACAGCCATGAATTTCCCTCTGAGCACTGCTTTTGTTGCATCTCATAACTTTTGGAATATTGTGCCCTAATTTTCATTCACTTCAAGGTATTTTCCAATTTCTCTTATGATTTCCTCTATGACCCACTGATTGTGTAAGAGTATGTTGTTTAATTTCCACATATTTACATATTTTTTAGTTTTCCCTTTGTTACTGATTTCTAGATTTATTTCCTTATGATCACAGAAGACACCTGCATGATTTTAATCTTTTTGAACTTATTAACACTTGTTTTGTGGTCCAAATATGGTCTAATCTTGAAAATGTTCCATGTGCCCTTGGGGCACACGGGTGGCTCAGTTGTTAAACATCTGCCTTCGGCTCAGGTCATGATCCCACAGTCCTGGGATGGAGCCCCGCATCAGGCTCCCTGCTCTGCGGGGAGCCTGCAGGGAGCCTGCTTCTCCTTCTCCCACTCCTCCTGCTTGTGTTCCCTCTCTTGCTGTGTATCTCTCTGTCAAGTAAATAAATAAAATCTTTAAAAAAAAAAAAATGTTCCATGTGCCCTTGAAAAGGATATATATTCTGTTGTACAGTGTATTAACATGTCTGTATTAGGTATAATTGGTTTAGAGCATTGTTCAAGTCCTCTATTTCTTTGTTGATCTTCAGTCTGGTTGTTCTATTCATCACTGAAATGCAGTATTAAAGTCTCCAATTATTAATGGAGTACTACCTATCACTCCCTTCAAATCTTTCCATTTCTGCTTCATATATTACTCTCTGTTGTTAAATACATATATGCTTATAATTGTTCTATCTTCCTGAGGAATTGAAGCCTGCATCAATATATAACAAACTTTTTTGACTTAAAATTGATTTTTTTCTGATAATATGGCTACTCCAGCTCTCTTTGGTTTTTAGCATTTGAATGGAATATCTTTTTCCATCCTTTTACTTTCAACCTCATTCTGTCTGTATCTAAAATGAGACTCTTGGGGCACCTGGTTGGCTCAGTCGGTTAGGTGTCTTCCTTCGGATCAGATCATGATACTGGAGTACCAGGATCGAGCCCCGTGTTAGGTCTCCACTCAGCGGGGAGTCTGCTTCTCCCTCTGTCCCTCCCACTTCTCGTGCTCTCTCACTCTCTCTCTCAAATAAATATTTTTATGAAAATAAAAATATCAAGATTTCAAGGTGGTATTTCACAAAGAACATATTGTTCAGCTAAGAACAGTCTGATATTTAGGTGTTTCACCTAAGTTTGAGAAACATTGTTAAGTAGAATGCAATACTTAAAATATTAAAATGTAGATCCATTAGAAATCCAAATTGAAATACTTTATGTAAATACTTTTATAAACATATAGAACTCAAAAATACATTTCATGTACTTGCTAAAGTCAATTAAAATTATAGCTATTATGATGGAAATATAAAGATGTTATCATAAATACATGTATACCATTCTAAAACATTTGTCAGTTTTTACTAACAGAAGAGGGGAAAAAAAAACCCAAAACCCTGCAACTTTAGCTGCAGGATCAACCATTCAATCAAATGCTATGTTTGAGTAAAAAAAGAAAAAATAATCCCAGGAAAATCCATAAAACATGAACAGTTCCATTCTAGGTCTTGTTAAACATTATATAATATTTCTAAATTGTTAGTTCACTAAAACTATAGCATATTCCACAGCACACCTCATCAAACATCAGTGGGACATGAAATAAATTTACTGAGTGGGTCAAGGCCAAAATTTATATAACATAATAGTATAGAACAGAAAATATTAACGTGTACTGTATATAATGCTATGTATTGCTTCACAAAACTTTTATTCTATTTTATGTATATATGAAAGCCATTCTCTTTCTACTATACCACAACACTATCCTATCAGAAAAAAGAAGCTAAATTAGGACACACCTTCTATAGTACATAATACATTGAGCATAGAAAAGTATTATGTATAGGAAAATATACTGCAATGAGATTCCTATGTAATTACTTAACATAATTTAATTACTTAAGAAAGTTACTTATGGATGAAAAAGATTGACTGTTTTACTACTTTTATCAGATTACCTCATATATAACTAATTTATAATTCAGAAGCCATGAAAATCTGAAGCAAACATCTAATTTATCATACATTAATGGGTTTCAAAATACCTTATATATAGGGAAGACTTAACATAATTAATCTCAAAGTTGTAAAGATAGATAAATTCATGATACTTGACTGGCATATTTAAGTCTAGCTCCTTAAAGGGCTTTTTATTTTCCCTCTATTTCAACCATAACTATGGATCTTTTTCTTATAGGAACATCCTTAACATTCTGCTCAACTGTTACCTATTCATATTATATCATATTTAAATATACAACAGATTTAGTCCTTTTCTTGATAAATACACAGACCTTTAAAAATGTTTCACTGTGAAGTATAATTTGCTGGGACATTTCTACCATAAAAAAATCGTACCATGTCAATAAAATTTATAATTTCCCCATTAAAGATTATTTTGTTCTAATACATTTAAGAACTTCATATTACAGGGCACCTGGGTGGCTCAGTCGGTTAAGTGTCTGCCTTCAGCTCAGGTCATGTTTTCAGGGTCCTTGGATTAAGCCCCGGCATAGGGCTCCCTGCTCAGCGGGGAATCTGCTTCTCCTTCTCCCTCTGCTCCTCCCCCTGCTCACGGTGTGCTCTCTCTCTCTCTCAAATAAATAAATAAAATCTTTAAAAAATAAAAAAAAGAACTTCATGCTGCTAGTGAGTAATCCTATCTATAAAAGAAATGGATCAGGACAAATATTAAAACAGGTAACACTGTTACTGCACAATTTCCCTTTGCAGACAGAACAGGCTCCCATATACATTTTAGCATTCTTAATATATAAATTGGACTGACACACCCAGTACTATTTAGGACAGAATATTCTCAAATTTCATCTAATACTGAGCTTTCAATTAATTCATAGTGTTTAAATTTAGGGCTCTTCAATTTATTTCTAAGTTCATCACAGATCAGATTTAAATCTAGGCCTTTACTGATATTCTGCTTTTATTGGGAAATGTCAGAACCGCACCCCAATTCTGAATTTAAACATTAATCCTGACAAAGTTCTTGAATGAAATTATTCTTTCTTCCAAAAATTTTTGCCAAAGGAACGGTAGGTAGAATGGCAAATATGCTTGGCCTCTGCCCTCACAGAGCAGGCCCCTTTATTCAAGGTCTTTTAGGGTAGGTCTTTTAGTCTACTGGAGTGGAAAAGTTTAAAGATGGAAGAGATTTTGAAGAATACAGGCTTTAAATCCCAACTCCATCATTTGCTAAACATTAGGCAAGTTAATTAATCTCTCCACGCCTTAATTTCTTCCTTTATAAAATGCGTTTAATACCAACTATTTCACAAAGTTATTTCAAGGGTTAAATGTTAAAATACAGTAAGCGCCTAGCACAATAGTGGGAACATAACTAAATATTCACAAATTCAGGGCCTGGCACATGGAATCCATTCAATAGTCACTGAATGAATAATCCACTCTGAGACAAGAAATCTTAAACGCCATTTCCAAAGGAAGTACATCAAAGAAAAAAATACATATAACAGTATTTTTAATACAATTATTTTTTTTTAAATATAGGTAATTGCCACCTTTACTTCATTTTGTACTCTTTAATTTGGACTTCCGCTTATGCCTTAAAACATACATTTTAAAGCACATAAGTATATCTTCTAGTAACATAAAAGGGGAATTAAAAGTTAATTTTTAAAATCTCATGCTGACCCAAACTGCACACTACTGGTACCCAAGCAAAATTTGGTATAAAATTTAAGTAACAAAAGAATTAATAAATGGCTTGTCACAGAAGTTCAGGCACTCACTACAAAACACAACAAAGTTAACTTATCAATTATAACCATGACATTCTAGTTCACTAAAACAAACATCCATGGGTACAAAAAAAAAAAAAAGATGACTTATTTTAGTCTCTGTGCATTATTTTTAACATAATAATCTTTTAAAGTGTAGCTTCAAGCCAACATTTTGAGTTAATCAGAGTAAAATCATTTTACAGATGCTAAAATTTACCTGTTTGAGTCCTTCATCAGTAAGTTTGTCCTGGTTGCCTACATGAACTTTCTGAAGTAAAGGACAATGAGAGGCAACCGCAATAATAGAAGTGTCAGAAAGCTGTTTACACCTGTAGGCTGTATACCTAAGAAGTCCAGGACACTTAAATGCTAGAACACATACGCCAGTATCAGACATACTGCGACAATCAGAAATGTTGATTTCAATTATATTCTGACTTCTTGATGCAATTTTTTCCAATAATTCATCAGTGACCTATGAGAGAAAATAAATTTAAACTTTTGTTACAAGTAAGAAACTTACTTTCCATTCTTTAATTTTCCCTAATAAATAATAGCACAATCAAAAGAAAACCTTCTTATTTAATATTAAACATAACAAGAACTATGGTGATAATATAAAATACATAGTCTTTCTTCCAGTTCCTGGAACAGAGTTCCTAAAACTCTTGGAATTTCCTGATTAAGAGCAGTGTCTTTTCTTATTCATAACAAGCCCCTTTTGACCACACAGGAGTTTATACTAATGAAATAACTTAAGTTGAGGCTCCCGGATAGCTTCAGGATGGGGTCTGGTCACCAGAAAGACCAAACAGCATGTGATTAGAGGGTGGCAACTTTCAACCCCAAACCCTGACTTCCTAGGAGGGTAGGAGAGGTAGAAATTGGGTTATAAAAACTCTTGAACATTGAGATTTGACGAGCTTCTGGGTTGGTGAACACCTTAAAGTGCTGGGAGGGTGACATGCCCACAGACTGAACAGAAGCGCCACATCTTCTCCTCCACTTATCTTGTCCTATGCATCTTTTCCATGTGGCTAGTCTTGAGCTGTATCCTTTACAATAAACGAGTAAACATAAGTATTTTCCTAAGTTCTGTAAGTCATTCTGGCAAATTATCAAACCTGAGGAAAGGGTCAAGGAAACTCCTGAATTAAGAGCTGGTCAGTGAGAAGTACAGGTGACTCCTGGGACTTGTGACTGGCCTATGAAGTGGAGACAGTCTTACGGGACTAAGCCAATAACCTGAGAGGCTTTGTACTAACACCAGGAGTTAGTTTCAGAATTGAACTGAATTGTTGGACACCCAGGTGTTATCAGAGAATTTGTTAAAATGAAAAAAACTCCACACATTTGGTGTCAGAAGTGCTGTTGAAAAACACCAAGCAAGAACATATGTGTTAGTTTTCATTAGAAGCCTAAAGATCTATCCTTATTAGGTAAGTTACTTTAACTTCAAACTCACCAAAAACTCCACATAAACAAAACTGTACTGAGATTTTAAATGTTCTGTTCTCTATTTTTAGCCCAGCAAATAGTGTATATATCAGTCATCATGCTATATGAATCGTAACTTATTATACCTAATCACATTAGATGATACCTACCACAAAATATAAATTTTAATTGTTTTACTACTTATTTCAGAATACTACCTCATATAACGAATTCACAGCTTAGAAAATATCATTTTGTTTATCAGCACACGAAAGATTACATACAAATGTCCACATCAAATAGCTCTCAAAACATATTTAAATATAAGTAACCTTAAAATTCATGTGGTTAAAAACTCACATGGCCATCTGAATTTTAAACATAATTTTTAAAAAATCAGCCTCTACATATTCCCTACCCAATCATGGAATGAATAAATCACAGGGATGAAAGGTACAGTACTGGGAATATAGTCAATGGTGTGGCAATAGCACCATATGGTGATGAGCGCAGCAGAACATACAGAATTGTCAAAGCACTATGTTGTACACCTGAAACTAACATAACATTGTGCATCAAGTAAATGTCAACAAAAAAATAAAAAGAAAAAAGAAAACAAAGTTAATATTATTCAAGTCCCTTGAGTACAAATCATGGTGAAAGAAAATGCACATGATAAAATTTAGAACAGAAGAAGGAAAGAACTGGAGTGTTCAGGAGCACCAAGGTTGCAACTACCTTTATGCTTGTTGGAAAAAGCAAAAAAATGCAGACAGTTACCTTCAAAGCTAAAACTATGACATACCTCTCCTTTTATTTTTTTTTTTCCATCTCCAGACCTAACTACCAATAGGGGTGAAAAGCTATTCTTAGTCTGAGTTTATAACAAATAGCTCAGATATCCAAGACTAATGAAGTAAAGAGCCAATGTATTATTTCACATTACTTCTTTCCACTCGACCAGCCACAACAAACTAAATACTCACCATTTTCCTAGACACAAATTTCATGGACCCAGGCAGGGAAATTACTAACTCTGTAACTATTTCAACTTCTAACCAATGAGGCAGAAAAACAAAAAGGAAACTTACATACAAATGCTCAGGAATTTGTTTATTTTGTTTAAAGTGTATGAGTTACACACACACACAAGCACACACAAACTACCAGTGGTGTGCTGAAGTTGGCTTATATGAACTTACAAGAGCCTGTAATGTATACCTCTTTCCAAATCAGTGACATCCCTGCATTCAGTGGTATCACATTGATAGCCTGAAATTGGCCATGGTGGGAGAATTTGCACCACAAAAACTAGCAAATACTATTAATACACAGCTAGTTGTTCAGCATGTACCAGTACATCACTACCTAAAAATATCATGGAAGAATTTAGAGCAGGTTCAGTACTCCAATAAAATCCTATTCTTATTGGATAATTTTATGTATTTCCAATGCCAACTACTAACAACCAGGTCTAAGAGAAGAATCCAAGAATACCAGCAAATTGTTTGCAATAAATACTACTAACTCTATCTTTTTTCCTAATCTATGCCACCATATAAACACACTAGGAAGCCAGGCAATAGGGAGGACTGGAAAATTAAAACAAGATATCTTAACCCATTTTGCTTCTATTTCTTCAAATATAACAACTGTATAAGAATATTTATACTATTCACCTATAACAATAGTATAGGAATGCTATAGGAATACTATTATTAATAGTGCAATAATATATTAAAAGTAATAATTGTATCGACTCATGACATTGTTAGAAGAATCAAATGCTTTAGTATGCGTAAAGCCCACAGAACAGTATATAGCTTATGAGCAGTACTATATAAACATTTGCCATCGTTTTCTATTAAACTAATATTCATGATACAACCCCCCCAAAAAAGGCAAAAAGTTTAATAACTTTCTTTGAAGGTAATGAAAAAAGGGAGAAGATGAAGAAGACTTAGACAAAGAAGATTAAGAAGCAACCCAAAATTACCAATCCACATTCAAAAATATCTTCTTTACCACAAGAACCTAGCTTAACATAATTCACACACAAAAAATTACTAAAGTGTGGAATTATAAATTATAGTCCACTTGAACTATCTTAAAAACTATAACATGAAAGAAGTGATTTCTGAAGAGGAATAAAGATATTTTTTGAGTAGGTCAAAGTGAGTGTTTCTTAGAATTAGATTCCATACCTGCTGACGACTACTAAGATCCAGCTGCTTCCAAAACTGGAAATCTAAACAAAGGTCACGCCAGTACTTGCAAACCAATGAGGCAGAAAGGCAACGCTCATCCAGGGATAAATTGGAAAATATCTGTAAATAAAAAAGGAACCATATAATATGTGCTAAACACTTTAAAGGCACAGGAAAAGGTTCTTATTAGTTAGAAAAAATTAACTTTTTTTTTTAAGATTTTATTTATTTATTTGACAGAGAGAGACACAGCGAGAGAAGGAACACAAGCAGGGGGAGTGGGAGAGGGAGAAGCAGACTTCCTGCGGAGCAGGGAGCCCAATGTGGGGCTCGATCCCAGGACCCTGGGATCATGACCCGAGCTGAAGGCAGACGCTCAACGACTGAGCCACCCAGGCGCCCCCGAAAAAATTAACTTTTAAAACAGAAAACCATCTTGAATACAAGGGCCATTATTAGAAAAGTCACTGGAGGAAGTACAGTATGAAAGCTAAGAACATGTGCTAATATCACCTTTCATGTAAAAAGAGGGAGTGGGGAAGCAGAGGGAACAGAGTTTACAAATATTTTTTAAAAAATGATGGGAAGGAGAAACCAAAAATTAATAAAAATGCTTACTTTAGGGGAAGGGAAAAAAGAGTAGGAAGGGAAAAATGATGAAAGTGAAACTACTTTAGAGGTATATAGTTTTACGGTTTGACCTTGGAGGCTGGTGAACTTTTATATAATTTTTTAAAAGAATAATGAAAATAAATCATAAGAGACATTTTACCTCTATGGTATTTTTTCCAGAAATTCATGACCCCAATCAAACCCTGAGAAAAAATATCATATATGCTAACTATGGGACATCCTACAAAATACCTGATAAGAACTCCTCAAAAAATTCAAGGTCAGAAAAACAAGGAAAGACTGAGAAACTATCACAGATCAGAGGAGAATAAGGAGAAATGACAACTAATGCAATCCTGAATTGGAAAAACATCAACAGAAAAACTATACTGATGCTGATTTCACAGTTTTGGTAAATGTACTATGGTAATGTAAGATAAATTAGGGAAAATTGAAAATAGTTGAGGAATATGTGGGAACTCTACTATCTTTGCAACTTTTTCTAAGATTATTCTAAAATAAAAAGCTTATTTTTAAAAGAGTTTTAAAAAGTTAAAATCGTGGGTGCCTGGGTGGCTCAGTCATTAAGCATCTGCCTTCATTTGGGTCACAACTGGGATCGAGCCCCACATTGGGCCGCCTGCTCAGCAGGGAGCCTGCTTCTCCCACTCCCCCTGCTTGTGTTCCCTCTCTCGCTCTGTCAAATAAATGAATAAAATCCTTAAAAAAAAAAAAGTTAAAATCACAAAAAGATGGCTAGGGTAAAGGATTAGGACCAATACAGAATTTTTACAATTAAAGTATGTATCAACAAATACAATGTGTGGACCATATTGAAATCCTGAACTGAACTGACTATAAGAAGATTCTTCTGAGACAATCAGATAAAACTGAACACAAAATAGATACTAGATGATTTAAAGAAAATTAGTCTTCACTTTTTAGGTTTTGATTATATAGTGGTTATATTCATACTATAGTTATGTTTTAAAAGCTACTGTGCATTTTAGATACATACTTTAGTGTTTATAACTAAAATGATATCTAGAATTTGCTTTCAGATACGTTATCAAAAACAAAGTTGGTGAAAGAAACAAGAAAGGCAGAATATTGAAAACTATTAAAACTGGTTGAATGATACATGGCAGGGGGCAGGTTCATTATAATATTTTCTACTTTGGTCTGTATATGAAAATTTCCATAATACTAAGTGAAAATTTTAACAAGCACATGTTCTCTAAAACTAAACTGTCTTATGCTAAGTTTAAATCATAGCTCCACCATTTATTATCTATGTATCCTTGTGCAAATTACCTAACCTCTCTGTACCTCAATTTCCTTATCTTTATTTTTTTTAAGATTTGAGAGAGGGAGAGAGAGAGAGAGAGTTAGAACAACGAGCAGGGGAAGGGGAGAGGGAGAGGGAGAAGCAGACTCCCTGCTGAGCAGAGAGCTGACACTGGCTCGATCCCAGGACCCTGAGATCATGACCTGAGCCAAAGTCAGATGCTGAACCAACTCAGCCACCCAGACCCCCCAATTTCCTTATCTTCAAAATTGGGATAATATAGTATTGACCTGACAGAGTTACTGTGAGGACCAAACAAGTATAGGTAAAGTTTTGGGAACAAGATCTGAAACAGAGTAAGTAGTATATAAATGATTCCTATCACAACTATGACCTAAAATGATAAACCTCCATGCAGCCAAAAGTTGTAGACATCTAAGCTAAAAACTCTACTGTGCTTAAATCTTGAACCTGGGGAAAATAACTGCCTCCTCTGCACAACTATCATTCCTCTTCCAAGGGTCTAATGAGAAATAAAATATATGTTTAAGAATCACCAGCAAAGATGGAGTTAAGCCCACTAAAATTTCTCACTCCCATTCATGACAACTAAAACCTTGGGACAACATACAAAAAGCAACTAACTCGGACTCTAAAAGGTTAATAACAGATGGACTGGGGAGGTGAGCCAAAAGCTAAAGAATGACTAATAGGGACACCTGGGTGGCTCAGGTGGTTAAGCAACTGCATTGGGCTCAGGTCATGATCCTGGTATCCCGGGATCGAGTCCCGCATCAGGCTCCCTGCTCAGCAGGGGAGTCTGCTTCTCTCCCTCCCCATGCTCTCTCACTCTCTCTCCCTCAAATAATAAAAAAACAAAATCTTAAAAAAAAAAAAAAAAAAAAAAATGACTAATAAAAGTAATGAGTTTCCTGAGGTTTTTTTCCTTTTATCTCCCATTCATGGAACAGGATGGCCCCTGTGCAGAAGTATACGTAAGGCACAACTAAAATACAGAGAGAAAGCCATCCTTCTGGACAGAGTGTGAAACAGAATATGAGAAGAATCCTCATTTGGGGTTTTCTTTTCTTTGCCTTTTCTCTTTCCTCTCTGCTGGCCAAGTCACAAATACAGCCTCAGTCACAGAGCTGCAAAGTGGCACCTAAAACCCTGAAAGTGAAACCATTTTCCAGCCAGTAGAACTAGCAAAGAGAACTCTGTGACCAGAGTGTGAAAGGAATCCTTGCTACCTTTTTCTTAACATTTTACCATAAAAGTAGCCCCAGGGCCACCTGGGTGGCTCAGCTGGTTAAGCATCTGACTCTTGGTTTAGGCTCAGGTCATGATCTCAGAGTCATGGGATCAAGCCCGCATCAGGCTACACACTTGGCGGGGAGTCTCCTTAGGATTCTATCTCTCCCTCTCCCTTTGCCTCTCCCCCTGTAAAATAAATAAATCTTAAAAATAAAATAAAATAAAAGTAGCCCCAGTTATACAAAAGTGATAGCAGCAGAGGTGGCTCTAACTCTGAGAGAAACTCTATCTTTCCAACCAGAGAACCAAGGAAAGGGGACTCTAAGTCAAAGAGTAAAGGAAGGATCAGAAAAGAAGACCCCTAACTCTGTGTATAAAGTGACAAAAATCCCAAGTTAACCACAAAGTTGCATGTGTACACAAAAAACCCAAAGTTGTACAGAAGAAACCCAGTAGTATAGCAAAGTCTTTTAAAACTGAGCCAAAACTATAATCACAGGCCAAGGAAGGTAAGATAGAAGTTTCAGTCTAAATATAACAATGCTGGGGCACCTCAGTGGCTCAGTCAGTTAAGTATCTGCCTTCAGCTCAGGTCATATTCTCAAGGTCCTGGGATCGAGCCCCATGTCGGGCTCCCTGCTCAGTGGGGAGTCTGCTTCTCCCTCTTCCTCTGCTCCCCCCGCCACCATTTGTGCATGCTCTCTCTAATAAATAAAATCTTTAAAAAATGTTTAAAAATCAATAAAACAATGCTGTTCCCTGACAAACCTGATGAAAGACATAAATCTAGACATTCATAAACTCAATGAACACCAGTAAGATTAACTCAAAGACTCTACACCCACATTATAATTAAATTGTCAGAAGACAAAGAGAGAACCCTGGAAGCAACAAAAAGAGCAATTCATCACGTACAAAGGATTCCCAATTACAAATCAGGTTAGCAACTGATTTCACATCAGAAACTATGTAAGCCAAAAGGCAATGAGATAACGTATTTAAAGTGCTGAAAGCAAGCACTATATCTGGCAAAACTATTCTTCAAAAATAATGGAGAAATTAAAATATTTCCAGATAAACAAAAACTGAGGGAGTATGACACTAGCAGACCTAACTGTAAGAAATGCTAGAGGGAGCTCTTCAAGCTGAACTGAAAGAACATGAGCCAATAGCTTGAAACCACAGGAAGAAAAAAAAAACACCAATAAAGATAGGTATTTATGTAGGTAAATATAAAATTCAGAATTAATGTATTTTGGGCTTGTACCCCTTTTATTTTCTACATGACTGAAAAGGCAACTACATAATAGTTATAAATCTTTATGAAAGGGCACCAAGCACATAAAAGTCTGAGTTGTGACAATAACAACATAAATATAGCAACAAAGGTTTTATATACCACTGAAACTATATTGGTATTTGTAGTTTAAGTGTTTGACAATAAGCTTTTTTGATTGTAGTATGTCTAATATTAAACTTTTAATTGCCATGACATCCATTTCAAAAAAAGACATTTATCTTAAATAAACATATTGCCAGCTGTATGACACAGCTACTAAAAAAACAACCACCAATTAAGGTCTCCCAGAAAACCCCAGGTTACCTAGATAACTGACTGCTTGAGTGACCCTGTTTCTCCCTTATGCCCTAATTCCTGCTTTTCTGCTTTAAATTAGCCAATAGAGAGTAAACCTGCAAAACCCTAGACACTCCACCCTTGGACTCTAATAAAGGCAGAGCTCCAAGACTCTTTCTCTCTACCCTCAACCTGGCTAGATGGTGCTTGGTGTGCTACGTATGTCATAATAAGAAGCAGAAGACCTGGCCCAGCTATAAATAGGGGCCCAGGTAGCACAAATATCTGTGGAGCTTGCCATAAGTAATGTGTGCCTAGGAAAACACTACAGGCATTTCTGACAGGGGGTACTACCATCAGTAGGCTCAAGATCAACAGAACAGTATTAAC